TTCAGGTTCATTGGAAATTGTTGACAATCAAGTGAAACTTCTAAAAGGGCTGCGTGATTTCTCAGACGTAAGTATTTTTCGAAAAACATCTTTGCTAATGGTTAACTTTCGTTGGATAATGCGAAAACAACCGATCGTGCATATGGAAAATGCGTTGGACCAGATCACGAATACTAATTCTACTGTATTACCAATGAAGCGTAAGATTTATCTTTACTTTCACGCGTTTTTGTGATATTAGTACACAAAAGAATCCTTGTTGGCACCATATACAATGGCACTTTTATTCAAAAAATGCGTAAAATGGCTTAAAGTCATTTGGGTTGTGCTTATATGAACATTCATATAGTTAAGGACTAGCCTTATAAGGGCATGATTGTCTTTTACTAATGACGGAAATTCCAAATCTTATATATAAAGGTGAATGTGTGTCTGTATGTCTGTCTGTAGGTATGTGCGAGATAGAAATTTTTATTTCTTAACCGATTTGGACCAAACTTGGCACACATATACTTCGGAGCGGGAGCGTGTCATAGGCTACTTTTCGTTATCGATCGATATCGATTTCATCGATTTTTTGCAAAATTTGAGCTACGGGGCTGGGAGTTGGCACAGGGGGGGGGGGTAATCGAGCATGCTGATTACACATATGTTATTGACAGGGCCGGGCGGAGCCGGGTTTGCCAACTAGTATTTGATATGGCAGAGTATTTTCATTTAGTGATGGGAATTCCAAATATCTTACAAGTGAGAGTGTCGTCTTTTGCCAGTGACAGGGAATTCCAAATGATTGATTGTGAGAGTAGAGTTTTCCATAATTCACCTTGGAGTGTAGTAAAATCGCGTAAACACTGCTTGTTGTGCAGTCATTGATCGACTGAGCAATATGCTGACCTTGAATAATTTATAGAAAAGTTGGAAAGAACCCGCTTACGTTCGTGCCAGGAATTTTTGAGCTTTTTCATGATGTTCGCTGCAGACAAATGAAATAAATCTTTTTGGTCTAGGTTTAGTTTTACTGGAGAGAGAGACCGAGCAAAAGTTCCCTGTTTGCATTGCGCTTATGATTTTTGTGCGATTTACAAGAACCAAGAGTATAGTTCACGTTTTTTGCTTGGAAAATTATAGGTTCCAAAATTTTTGAAGGCATATCTCGATAAGTATTTCGCGGCACAAGTTCCAAATAAACATTACTTACATTGCATAAGGTTTATTAAAGTCTAGCTGTAGATTCTACAGCAACGCTGCGGAAAGGAAGTTCACATTTTTCTTGCAAGTCGTTCTCTCTTGGAACCTGATGGACATTTTTCAAAATACTTTTTTGCCGTGCAGTTTTGTTATGGTAGTAACTTTATTCGCTTAAGTTTCGGCCCCACGCCGTAGTCAGCGGCCTGAAGGGAGCCAGTCCGAACGATATTCGCTCATAGCCGCCGAACATCGCTCCTTATTCGTTCGTTTAATTCGTCTGTAGAGAAAGCGAGCCTGGCAGTTGATTAGTACTCACTAGTATACTTTTAATCTCGCAAAGTTCAATTGTTCTAGACGAGCTCGCTCGATTGTGGTGACAAAATGACCAGCGTGCATGGCATCGAACTGTTCATAAACGCCACAGAACAGCTCTAAACGAAAGGCACGAGTACGCTGTTCAAGATAACTGTTCATTCTGCTCCTTTTAGGACCACTGTAAGAAATAAAGGATGCTTTCAGGCCTTTCGCGCCGAAACGTGGCTTCCATAGGCTTATATTGTGTACCTTATATCAAAGCCGACACCACCGTGCTCCACCTTTCTTTGCTTCGTGAGCTCATCATGCTCTTTATCTTTTTGCTGGTCAGATGTTCATTATACGTATGCTCAATGGTCTCATCAAAGTTAATGGCGGAGCATGCAAACACGAATTTTTTAAACGAAGCCACATTTTGTACAGTCTCCCATTCTTCCGTGGAGGCAGATTCTTGAGTTGCAATATTTGTCGTATAGACTGTTGCGGATCAATTGCGCCTTGATATTATATTGTCTCCGGGGATATCATTAGAATTATGTCATCCTCGAGCGCTCGTACCACGCATCGCTTGGTCGCCATGAAGACTTCTTCGGAGTTGGGGGTAGGCATATTGGTACTTTATTGGTAACCCGATCTTTGAACTTTGCTTTTGTCTTTCCTTAGGTCGTATGGCGTAACCATTAGTTATCATTAGATCAGCCGCATTTGTAGAAACTCTTTCTTCTCAAATTCACCCACTGTTCGGTGCCGTTTTCAGCATATTGCGATTATGGCAAATTTAACGGCTGCGAGATGGGCAGACTGAGCGTGCGAGATTATGTTTCTGTTACTCCTATTGCGGTACTTTGGTGCACACTGAGCTCATTGAATGAACAGTTATCTGACAGGTGATCTCATGCCACAACTTTGTTCGCCGGGTAGTAGATTGTGTGTACGTATATAAGGGCCAGTAGTAATCCCCCCAATGTCGTCACAACTCAAAGAAGACGCGGTCATGAGTGCCCAAAACGAGTCACAACTTGAGCACGACGTGCGTCACCCGCCCGCCGCGAAACGCTCCGTCATCGAACTCGAAATGACCGCAGTAACCGGCGCGAGCAGCCACTGCACTATAGACAATGTTTCTGTTTGAAGTCTGTGCAAGGGAAAGTTGCATAAGGTAGATAGACCCCCAAACTATGTTCAAATTAGTAAGCAACCCCATTAAAGCCAATCTTGCCCGTTAGCATAAATACAGCTAGCACTTTGTGGTTGTAAACATTTGGCTTCGAATGTTTGGGAATAGAAATACCATTGCGGATAGCGCAGTGCCTGCGTCGCGCGCTACTGAGCTGGAGCCTGGAGCACAAGACGCAAGCGCAGCAAATTTTTTGCAAAGCGATATGAAAAAATAAATGACCAAATTTTTTTTAGTGATTATAAGGACTTAGCATTTGGATTGGTGTGCAAACAAAATATTTGATATACATTGAAAAAATACAAAATTATAAGATTTACTAATTCGATGTTTATACTAGTTAAAATGGGAAGACTGCCTGCGGGTAAAAATCTGCCAAAAAAAAGAGATGAATCTTTTTTCATTGAAAAGAAACTCAACGCAAGTGTATTAGCATTTGAATGATGCCGCAGTGCCACTAAGTCGATGAGTATGCAGATTTTGCCCGATACAGGTTGATAACTCGTCCCCTTAGAATACTGCAGCTAGGAATAGCACACTCAGAATCAGCATTTGAAGTTGATTCAGAATATATGCTCCCCTGTAGACCGCCGCGCTAATTTAGGCGTCTTCCCTTGTAGAATATTTGTTTATTGTAGCAGTGCAGCAAAGCTTTAGGGGCGGTATTCATCAATCTCCTGTTTGAGAAGTTTTCTAACTAGATCGTCCCTGCGCACGCGATTATGAGCTAAGGACCGTTTGCATATGGGTAATCCTTCGGAGCGGTAAAATTTCAAACAAAAAAACAAAAAATAACAAAAAATAACAAACAAAACAAACAAAAAATAACAACTCCAGCAAAACAATAGTGCCCAAATGCCTCTGTGAGGGCTTCTAGAACATTTTGGCTCAAGAATTCTATTGAAGTTCTCCAGTTACCATTGGAGATTGAGGAGAAGGTAAAAATCTGTGCATAACAGACAAGACATGCTTCTTTGAAGAACTACACTTATCCACTTGATAATCTGGAGACAGCAGTTCTTATCGTTATAAAAAGGATAAAGGATTCGGAGTCTTCAATACCGAACGCACACTACTTCATAGTCGAAGAGGCAGCTGTATGCGTGCGAACCTATTACAGTGACTTGCGGGAGCCAGCCGATTATCAATTCAGAGCGTTTATGCACCCAGATTACTCTGGTACCAACAGTTTGCCGACCCCGGAGGTAGAGAGCGGTGGAAGGGCGGGAATCGAACCTAGGTCCGATCTGGTCGTAGCCGCACGTCATACCACTACGCCACTCCTCAAGACTAAACACACTGACGACAACGTGACTCATATGGTGGCATGGCTGAAATGTTCTAAAATGGCTACATTTTGGGACACCTTCGTTGCAAAATTTTTCTTACTCTCTAACCCTAAAGATTAATTTCGCGTTTCTGCGCTGCTTCTTATCGTTAGAGCTACTGTAGGTATGCCGCAGATGACGTTTCTGCCTGTTTTTGGCTAAAAATTTTCGACTATTTTCGACGAAGGCTTGCATGTGCCAGAGAACTAAAATGTCGTCAAAGTTTTGATACGAATTTATAATTCTTGGATAAAGCCAGTCATTACGCCATTCCTTCAGCAGAAGTTTTGAACGCTTCCACCCGAAAATCAAGTTCCTCGTCGCAAGAACCAATCCTTTGATTGTTAGCGTTTATTGATATAAATTGCCACATCGCTATGAGATTGTGATGTTTTGGCAAAAGCAAGTAGTCATATAATGCACGGATATGATTTTCACAGAACAATGATTTGCACATAATTTTACCATCTCTGTGTTTGTACAACTGAGTGTTACACAAATTACTTTCTGAAAGGGGTGCGAACGAAAGGGGATAATCTTTACCTGATTTCACTACGACAAAATACTGTAATTATACCACCCAACTTTGGCAACTTGATGAACGCTTATGGCCTTCAGCAATTTTTTCGACACTCTCGGACTTTGCGCGAGTGTAATATTCTTAAAACTTCGTCCATTTCACTCCCTAGTAAAACATGATCGAGAAGTTTTTCTAGCTGGAAGTTTTTTTAGTTGCCACAAAAACACAATAGCCGATAAAAAAGCAAGGCAAGGTGGACGGTTATCTGATTGTCCAAGCTGGTGGCTTGCTGGACGAATAATCAACATAAAATAATCAACGCAATGTCCTAAGCCACTGTAATCTTTTGTTTCCTCTTAATTTTCCACCGACACTCTTCAAGAAAATCGTTGAATAGAAAATTCCAACAAAAACTGTCGCAAATTCTTTATTTGACCCAATATTAAACCTATGAATAGATCTAACCGAAGTCTTAATTGCTAATAATCTTAGGAGGCCGAACACTTGTAAGTTTTGTATCGTCCTCACTCCTCTTATTCAAGGCTGGTTTATGGATTTCTCCACTATGAACTGCACTCGGTTTGCGCGTAATCGTCTCGCTACCAACGACAGCTATATCTCTGTACACCCTCTCTGGACACGGGCAGTAATCTCCGTCTGGTCCTGGCACTCCTGGTATACCAGGTGGACCGGCGTATCCGTTTATTCCAGGGGCACCGCGCATACCAGCAGGACCCATCTCTCCTGGCGGTCCTCGCGACCCTGACTCACCAGGAGCGCCAGGGGCGCCGGGAGGTCCCGGTGGTCCACGGGGTCCTGGAGGTCCCCGTCCACCTTTGTTGCTACCCATGCGAAAAGAACTCAGGCCAGGTGCTCCTCGCATGCCGGGAAATCCTGGCACTCCAGGAGGTCCTGGATCGCCGTGAGGTCCCGGGGGTCCTGGCGGTCCTGGTATGGCAGGGTTTCCGCTTAGGCCTGGCATTCCATCATAGCCTTGTGGCCCTGGCTGTCCGTCTACTCCTGGAGGACCTGGGGGACCTTGGGGGCACATCAGACAGGCTGCTTCTATTTGGTATTTCTCCGAGGCATGGCCACGTATTCCTGGCCTTCCCGGTTCACCTGGTATCCCTGGCTCTCCGGGCAAGCCTGGGAGTCCTTCTGGTCCAGGCGGCCCCTGTGGGCAGGAGTATGGTTGGGGGCCACAATTGCACAGATCTTCTTCCTCCTCTGCGGATATGTATCTGTTTCGTCTTGATTTGGGTTTGGCTTCTCTTCTGACTCTGACCAAGAACGATGGTTCAGACTGCATTTCGCGCCAGACGGAATTTGCCAGGCCCTGGAATTTTTTCCCACATATTGCAAATAAAATATTTTGCATGTATAGCCTTACCTTGAAATCTTTCAATTTTTCAATGGCAGAGTCGTAAAAATTATTGATATCGTTTATTAAATATACAACAGCAATCATAGACAATGTCAAAGCAATAGCCGTGACAACAGCCAAACCGCAGACAATAGTTGTAGTTTGCATCCAGAGAAATTTCCAACCAGGACCCGTAAGCAGAAGTGTTGCACGACCATGTATGACTTAATGCAAGCCGAATTTATATTCCAGAGCTTCGTGGTCAGTTTACACAATGAGAAGCGCCTTAGCGCAACTTTAGCGCAATACGCATCAGAAGCACGCTTTCTCTCATCCGGTTCCTTCCGCGTTCGTCGCTCTTCTACCATTCTGGCATCGTCTATATATGTGGCTGTGTTCCGAGTGTTTGACAGCTGAATAGCAATGTTGAGACATTTGACTACAGTTCGTCACGTGATGGGTTGAGAAGTTGGAGAGAGTTGAGAATTGCAAAACAAGCTGCAAGCGAACTGTGTTTAGAAAAACAAGCCGTCTCGAAGACGCATATGTCGTGAGAATATTTTGAGAAGGGCAGAAAGGGGAGGGGGGTAAGAGTTCCCTTGAGGGGCAGAGGACGAAAGCGCAATTTTCCTGTTTGTCACTGTGTTAGGGCCAGCGAACCTACTCTCGCGTCTTTCAAAATGAGGCAAAAAAAGAACCCTGTTCTATTCGTTAACTTCTTTAATTTTAAGTATTTTTTGGTCCCCATCGAGTTTCCGGTTTCTTTTCACTCGAACAACCTCAACCCACACGCTGATATCGTGTCAGGACCTTTGTGAGGTTACTGTAAGAGCCAGAAGAGAGCCTCTTGCGCCGTAAGTTTTTCCTATAATGTTTTTTTTTGAATATCAGCTCTCTAGAAAGTTTCCTCATTAGCTCATACGTTGTAAATAAATTCATAGAGCTTTAGCTAAGCGCTTTCGAAATATCTCACACATATCTAGCCATTTATTTTCACCTCCTAAGTTTTTACTGCGATGGTTTGCAATTTATGGCTTGAGCGCATGCTCGTTTTTTTTCCATTTCGCAAACAAAAAAAATGTGCAAGATAGCGGAATGGTTTCTTGCAAATGCTGAGAGCAAATGTGAAACGTCTGAAAAAAAAGCTGCAGAAAAAGTCTACTTGTAGGCGGCAAAATTTATTCTTTCATTAAGGAGAAAGAGAGTGATCGCCGCTTTTTTGAGAACATACGATAGATTTAAATTCTGAAACATAAGTTCCTCAGCACAATTAAGCGCGGCGAATTTAGCGTGAACCCGCACTCCTAATTTCATAACAATAAAGGCAATTTAACGAGCAATTAGCCAACAATTCTAGCTAGAGCAAGTTGAGTTTATGCTAGTTTGATGGCCTTCTACTATAACCTTGTCCACAAAACCCAAGAGCGGGGTCCCTCTCCTGCTTTCTTTGTAATACGTTATTTTTGTCCTTTGCCTTGATTTGATTATGGTGGGTGTAAAATTTTATGATGTAAGAAGGTATCTAACCATAAGAAAAGGAAAAAATAGTTTTCATGACAAACACTAAACACTGTTACTACAGATCATTACGGTAGCAAGGAGCGCATGACAAAGGAGAGAGTATCACTCCCGAAACTGGAAAGAAGTCGCTTTGAAAAATTCTGAAAAATTAGAAAAAAAAATCTTTTCGAAAGTTGTCTGGTTTATATCTCAATCCCAAAATGCAGAAAAGTCGATTTAAAATTAGAGAAAGTTTTTTTGGAAGTTGTCTAGCTTATATTATCTCGCAAACATTTTACTTTGATTTATAATTGGCTGAAACCTCCTTATAAATTTTTTAAATCGATCACTACAAATCTGGAAGATGCTATATATTTTTTTCGGTGACAAACCTCCGAAAGTTTCAAAAAGTACCAAGAAAAAAATAACTGAAAAGCAAGCTAGAGCCTTATACTTCATGGAGAAAATTGTTGTGTCTCCACTCCACCCTCCTCTCGAAAGAAATGTCTGGTACTTCAGCAGATACATGTAAATAACTAAAGACGCTGAGCTATTGTTTTAGTTCTTAGTTTTGAGATTATTTTCTTGCCAAACCTTTCATTACTTTATCTACCCCTAAAGTGTGGCTATCTACTTATTTATCTATTCAGAATGCGCATTAAAGAAGTCGATGGTAAATTCAAAGAAATTCAGGCTTGCCAACCTAAGCAACCGCAGTTTCTAATCCTTCCTGCTTCCCAAGGTTCTTTTTTTGGGGTCAGACACTTAGAATTGGTCAGATTTGCAGAGGTATATTTTTAGCATAATCTATCAGGTCTAACCAGCACGGCAAGTGGAAAGCTATTTTCAACTCATGAGTAGATTAGAATCAGCATAAGTTTGCAGGCCTTGCCAGGCTAAAAATGTAATCCTGTAATGCAATCAATCATGACGTTGGAAATGTTCCTCCATCAACTGGTGATGAATGGGCATGTCTGTTCACCATTTTTGCTGTGATTCATTCATAAACTTTCAAAGCCTTTTTCAGTAAAAGTATGAGCAAATAAAAGCATCGAATTTCAAGGTCCTTGAGATACTTCGTTGATTCTTTTTTTCACAATTCCAAATTGACTGTAAAAACCTTCAAAAATTTTAAACTTCATACATACAATTTAATATCTATATCGGAAGAGATCAAATGGCATGCATTTACTTTGCCAGTAGAAACTTTGAAAAATAACAACAATCCCGATATCTCCAAATGATTTTTTGTTGCCAAAAATTATATATCAGAATTTCATAGCTTCATTCATATTGCCCTGTTTTTTGGTATCGATCCAAAAAAATCCCAAAGCCTTTACTGTTTTCCTACATATTTCGCAAAAGTAAAACCATTGAAATTGGTTCAAGCTGAAATTTCTTTTGGTAACATCTTAATATATGGAAACGGAAAAATTTTCTGAGGATAATTGAGAAGCCACTGGTAAGGAAATGGCTCTTTTGCTAACATCGGTGCTAATTATGACATGAAGTTGGCTTTCGGCGTTTTCGACTTTTAAAATTTGTTCATGTTTCATAATAATTTCAAATAAACATATTTATTCAAAAATATTATGTTACCTCCTCTTATTTATGGAGCTTCAAAGGCAGATTTGTTTTCTGGTAATCTCACTATAGCAGTCAAAAGCGAACTTTTCCGTCAAGAATCGTGTCTCCTCCCCAAAAATCTTGAACATTTCCCCTTTATCCTAGCATATGTTTGACACATCAAACATTCAGTTATTTTATACTCTGTATTTTTTCCATGGCTAGAAATAAAGAAAAAATGAATGGGTAAAATAGCAAACTCCTCCCCTAGACGAGCTGCTCCCACGCACGTGATCATATAGCTCATACATACAGAAGTACGACCATGTATTTGTGAGCTTTGAAGGTGCCCCAGTTCTCGAGAAATACTGATGTTTAGGAATGAACGGTAAAGAAAATATGGGACATTCTATAATGAAAGTAAGGAATGAGGGTGCAGTGAGCGCTTAATTGAGTCCCTATTGTTCTGAAGCGTCGTAAATATTGGGATGGACCTTGATCACTTTCACTATCGCAATATCTACGAAATTTGCGGACCTGATATGCAGGTATGATATATAAGAGAGCCAGTTCTCACTTTCATTGTCGTCTGGATTGCGAACAATGAAAGCGTTCCTTTATTTATTGGCACTATTTTGTACTTCTAAAGCCTGCATGAAAACGATACCAGGAGATGTGAGTTCTAGAGTAATATGTTAAAGTAGAAGCCTTCCATAGCATGGAAACCAGTTTTACTTCTTTTGGCTTATTTTGTAAAAACAACATTCTGTTTGTATCAAGGCTTATGGTATAGAATTTGATATTTGCTAATTTTACCGCACAAATTTTCCAACAGTCATTCAATGCCAAATATAAATGAAAGTTTTTTCTTTCAGGCGCCGATACCTGCAAGAGGTGAGTTGTATCAAACCCTTCTATAACCTATATGACATTTCAATTGCTCCGCCATCTTTCTGCTCACTTTTTTTTCAAATTTGATTTTTTATGATTGGTATTTGACAGTGTTGTTTCATTGAAAAGGGGTTCCAGTGAAGACTCATAATATCCATTTAGAGCTGCATACACAAGACTTCGTTCTCGTCTTTCAGTAATTAAGCCAACCGTTGACGCAATTTTGAAAGCCTTCTTCTTTAGTATGTGATAACTGCTCACCAGCCAAGGAACTTACTTGTCCAACAGCCACAGTATGCGACTTTTCTCTGCTCAAGCAAACTACGAATTCTGAGAAATGTTTGACGTAAGTTCACAGGCTACTTTTATATCCCGAGGTCTGTAAGCATTTCAGTTACGATTGCAAGCAAGGTTCACTTTTGGCTCAGGTTGGCCAACAACCTGAAGCAATCACAAGTGCAGTATGTGATAGGAATAATCAGCTTATCTGGAAAACCAGTGGAGGAGAGTTGTTGGGAAGGAATTTGCAGGCAACTTGTGGATTTCGTAAGTTGCTCAGTTTTTAAAAGCATACAAAAATTCAAAAAAGTAAAATTATGAGTTTATTTTTTTGTCAGTAGCAGTTTAGAGCTCCTACAAGAACGAGATGTACCCAATATGCAGTTTTATAGGAGTGCATGTAAATGAGCATAGCTATTTCGCGTTAGTATACGGTACCTTTGTAAAAAAAATTGAATATGAATTACAAAAAAAACAGGTCTGCGTCCACCCAGCAAATTTCATTTTTCAAAAAATTAATAAAAATATTTTAGCTTGCACAAATTGTAACGCACTGACTTGTGAAGAAACGCCATGTCCTCCCGGTTATGACTGCGCTGTTTGCAGTGAAAGGTAAGGATATTTCGCTATTCTCAACCTAGGTAAGGACATTTCGCTATTTTGAACCTATGTCGCCAAAAACGTCCTCAGCGGAACTTTTGCATTTCAGCCCAATCGTCTACTCCATAAACCCGCAAGGATGTGCAGTCGCTACTTGCGGTAGCGGTCAGATGTTCAGCAAAGGCCAAGCAGCTCAACAAGCTACTTGTGCTGATGGTGGCTATTTGATAAATGGCCAGATCGTCAGTCAGGTCGCTTGCGGATTGCGTGAGTTCAATTTTTTTTGAAAAAAATCTGAGCATCGCGTTTTCTCAAGTATAGAACAATATTCTTATATTAGCGCATAGCTCATAGCTTTATAGGAAAGAGAATGCTAACAAGTCGAACTATAAAGCCCTTTGCAACTCGGCTGACTATCGATTTTTTTCCGGAGTCATTTTGCCGCTTCGCGTTGAAGCCACTTTCACAATAACTTATCTATGCGATTTTTGTGCAAAGCTAGTTAGAATTGTACCATGTATTATGGAAATTCTTCTCATCGAGAAGTAATAATGATGCTCTTTGATTTTTTGGGTGGATTATTCGTTAAGGAAGCGCTACAGTTTCGACTATGCTCGCTGAGCTTGCAAATGTGCGCTTGCACACAGTCATATCGAGCTGACGCCATTGTATAGTTACTGTCCTTCCAGCTTGCACCACATGTACCGTCCTTCAGCCTGATGGTCTCACCTGTCCAGAAGGTCTTGTCTGTGCACCTGTATCTAAGCGTGAAGGTCAGTCTGAATACTCAATGACGAAAAAGTCAGAAAAAGTGAAATTATTAGAAAATTTCATATTCAGGTCAGTGCAGTGAAGCATATTGCCCAGCTGGTGTGATGAACGCTGATGGTGTCCAGGTAAACTTCCTGTCTTGTAATGGTAAGGGACAATGGGTTGACAATGCTGGAACCGTATACACTAATGCACACTGTGAAATGTGTAAGTATGACCTACCTACTTTTAATCTATCAAATTTTTTAAATTCTCAAAATATTTCATTTTTAGCATGTGAACTCTGCAAGGCTATTAGCAACTCTGGCATGCCATGCCCAGCAGGACTGATCTGCGAAGCTCCTTTAGAGAGGGAAGGTACAATATTTTTTTCGTATCGGAGGTTCTAAAGATATTTATCACTTGATGTAAGGTACAATGGGTCTTGAAAGAAAGAAAAATGGAAAAGTGTGGGCCATCACCTTCATTAAAAAAATTGGTTTTTTCATGCCAAGAGCAGCATTTTCTCACAGTCAATTTATTGGTCAACTTATTTCGCCATCTTTCGCTTAGCGAATAGTTGCGATACTTTCATGGTACTGTTATCGTAAGCCAGAATGAAGGATGCATTTCTTGAAAAACACCAAAAAATGAAAAAGTGATTGGGGCACTTCGTAATTCCAAAGTTCTACCTTAACCTTAGACAAAACAAGTCTGTTTAGCAAATACGAAATAACAAAAAGAAGATACAATACAATATATCTCAATACATTTTTCACACTTAAACTACTGAAACATCCGGTTCCGGGGCTAACTACAGGGTGTCCCAAAAAATGTGAACACGTTTGATCGTTAATAACTTCCTTGTTTCATGTCTTTCGCCGAGCTTGAGACACCATTCTGTAGAGCGAGGTTCAGCTTAGATTTGCAGTATGGAGCGAATCATCAATCGCTTTTATTACTGTAGGATTACGGTAGGAACTTTGACAAGGATTTTAGGCCATTAGAGGCCATATTCTGCCTCGGAACAAAACCAAGCAAGCCAAAAACTCTTACAATATGTTAATGGAAGCCGCTAACTTTTGAATATGAAATTTCCACTGCACTGTGACGCTTCTTTCCGAAGTTATCCCAGGTAAAGCGTAATAACAGAATTCCCAGCATTTGTCAAAAATGTGATTACCCCGTCAAAAAAGCTAAAAACTCTCGAAAAAAGTTGTGTAATGGATTCAGCGTGTGCGAAAACCCTATTACACGATTTTTCAGATTTTTTGGAAAATATTTTATCAAATGGCATATTTCACAATGGATTCACACGCTGGAAGTTCCTACCGTAATCCAACAGAGCGAAGAGAGATCGGAGTTTTGCTTCACACTGTAAATCTAAGTTGAACCTCGGTCTACGAAATGGTGCCTAAAGCTCGGCGAAAGACATAAAAGCAACGGAGTTATTAACGATCAAACAGTGTTCACATTTTTTTGGGACACTCTGTATACAGATAGCGCGGCCCTTCGTACCCTTTTTGGGTAGGGGAACGAGCTCCGCCAGTATGAGCCGTCTCCGCGGACTACTGGTCCTGCAACGACATACAACAATATAGCAAAAGGACCAGTTGCCAGCGAAGGCGGGTTCAAACCAGCGGAGTTCGTTCCACTACCCGCCCTTTTTAGCCCTTTGCAAAAAGCCTTATAGAATGAATAGTTTAGAATAAAAATATCTCCATGCATAAATTGCAGTTGGCGAAATTTCATTTCGTTCAGCCATTAGATATTATTTTTAAACGTAGGTAATTAGAAGCTTGATTGGTAACTGACTTCATTTGAACAAAGATCTCTTATATGAAATTATCATTCTAACGAATAAATAATGATCATTTGTCAACTGGTTTGATACAATTCAGGAACTTGTAAGGAGGAATACTGTCCCAAAGGTGAACTGAGAGGAAATCCAGCTCGAACACTTCTGTCGTCCCTGACCTGCAATGGAATGAGCCAATGGGTTGATTCGCAAAACGCTGTCTATACTAGCGCACAGTGCGAATACCGTATGTTTAGCTGCTTTCCGCTGTCAGCCGTAGAAATCAAGTGATTTTTAGCTTGCGATCAATGCACAGAATTGTGTGTTTGCGGACTGACATGCCCTACAGGATTTGTGTGCACGCCAGTAGTCAGTGAAGCAGGTAAGCTAATTTGGCACATTTTTCTACGATTTCTATTGAAATAAATTCTGGTGGGCGGAAGTAGGGAGGGACAAGAAGAAAATATGAAATTTGAGTTTTTTTCTTATCCCAAAGCAGTTTAGATTTTAGACCAGACTTCATGAGTTTCTCCACATCGCATCCTTGGGTTACGGTAGTTATACGATAATTAGAATTCTTGTAGGACAATGTCCGGCTGCCACCTGCCCTGTAGGAACTATGAGAGCGTCTCCTGGTAATGTGATCGTAACTTCACTTACCTGCAATGGTGAGGCTCAATGGGTTGATGACCAAGAGACTGTTTATACTTCTGCTCAGTGCGAAGCACGTAAGTACACTTCAGTTTGTTCAGATTCATTTTCTAGAAAGTTCATGGAAGTTTTACTGTCGATTTACGGAAGTTTTTGATTTTTGAGAATTTCAGAAGTCATGAGAGATTTTTATTAACTGAAATGCATTGAAATACTAGGTTTCTAATTATAATTATTTTACCCATATGCTTCTCTAACAATCCCATTTATGATAATTCTACTCACTAACTTTATGCTTGGTCGTTTTAGCCTGTACCGAGTGTCCAGCGATTTCAAATAGTGGAATGGAATGCCCGAAAGGACTTTTGTGCAAAGTACCATCTACACGTGAAGGTAACCTTAGTGTCTTTTTGTCCAATATGGCTGTACTTTTGAACCTTCTTATGGATTTGTAAAATCTCAAGCGTTTTGCAGGCCAGTGTCCGGAGGCTTATTGCGAGAAAGGAGTACTTACTGGTAATCCCGAAAGAACAACACTAGCTCTCCTCACTTGCGATGAGAATGCTCAGTGGGTAGATGGATCCACACCTTATACAGTTGCTCAGTGTGAATCCCGTGAGTTCAATTTTCTCTCAAAATTTCAGGAATGCAAACAATATGCACAAACGAAGGCGTAGATCTGTGACAGTTGAAACCATCACAAATTGTCCGAAAGTTGTATGTTAGCGCTGCTGAGTAAAATCTGGAAGTCTTCCTGCAAAATGTCTAAATTGACAAAGTCACACCCCTTTACTCGAAAAAGCTGATTGCACCCTATTTGGAAAAAATTACTGTCGCTCACTTTTCGAAAAAGTCTTTGATTGTTGTCAACAAATGACAAAAAATTCATCATAACAACTTTCAAACCGGTCGCGACGCAGTTTGGCATTACTCCAAATGGTCATTTAGTCACAAGGCCTGAATGTACGGAAGATAGGGCATTTTATCAATCCACGAAAGTTAAACATGCTGTGCCTTTGGGGCTTGCCAGTATTTAATGAAGACTTCTGGCAAGTTGCCAGATAGCGTGGTGACTGAAATCGCGTGAAGTATGCCTTAATCTTGCACTTACGTAATCTACATTTGAGTTTGATGTTTATGAAACTTCAAAGCCAGCAAAAGTTCAAAGCTTCAAAATTATCCCAAAGAAGAGGGAGGGGAAAGCGAAGGAATTTTCTTCGCTGGAATGATAGTGATGAGGCGACAAGTGTTACTCCAAACTAATTTGCTGTAACGATTGGAGACGAGCAGAGTCTAAAAAACCAGCTTTTTCTCAACTAAGAACAAGAAAGAAATCTTGTGGAAAACTTTGAGTGCCCTGTCCCACTTTGATTTATGCACAAGTTTCTCAATCATACTTCAGCATGCGATCGCTGTCCAGCCCTCACTAACGACGGAATGACATGCCTTACTGGCTTCAGATGCACTCAAGTATTGACGAGAAATACTGGTATGCTGTGAGCTGCTCGCAAAAAAATCGAAAAATTTTACTTTCTTACAACTTACTATTCTAGGACAATGTCCCGAAGTTTACTGCGAGACTGGACTAATGACAGCAGGCTCCGGCAGGACAACTGTCACCTCACTGTCGTGTGATGGTGAACAGCAATGGATAGATTCGGCATCGACTGTATATGACAGCGCTCAGTGCGAGACTGGTAGGATTAAGATAGTAAATAGTACGGTGGAGGAGATTTTCGGTTTTAGGATGTACATGCCAGCCACTGACAATCACTGCCTCGCCAATTCGATTGATGCCATCTCGAGGAAATGCGTTGAGTGCAGATGCTGACGGATGTTCCACGCTGGGTATGGGTTGTAGAACATCGGATATCTACAGGTAGGTCAAAATGGAATTTTCTAGCTATACAACTGAATAGCCGGATAAGAATAATTCTGATGATTTTGTTTGTATCAAAACTGAACATTGAAAATTTTCTTCTCTTCAAGACTCGTTACATCCGAAGGCGTGGTCACACTAGAACCTCCGGCTGGTCGACAAACTCCAATGACTTGCGTAGATGGACAATGGAAAGCCACCATCAATGGCGCTGAAACCACGGTCACAGAACAAGCTTGCTATGCTTTCGGTGAGTTTTTGGAACATGAAGGGCAAAACTTTTAATAAGAAGGATGAGGAGAGGAAGGAAGAAGATGGTAGTCACGACAGAAGTGGAGCAGCGAAAATAGAGGCGGCCTACGGATTATCTTTAGCATATGTTGTCAGCATGACTATAGACGCCACTACCAATAAGGATTATGCACAAGATATCTCACACGAATCATGCATCTCTACACCCCCGAAACTGTGGCAGTTGTCAGCGAAAGAATTTTTCTTGATCAGGATACTAATATTACATGGTTATATATGTCTTACTTCAAAAAATATAAATAAATCAAATCATAATAACAATGTCTAAAAACCATGGATAAGTAATTATCCACACAAAATGCTCCTTGTTGAGCATAAAAATTTAATATTATGTGCTAGATATATTGTAAAGCTGTGCAAATCTAAAACTGATATTGGTGATCATTTCAGTTTGGGACCACCTAGAATTTCTACTGACAAAAAACGAAAAAAAATCATTTGATGGAAAAAAATAAGCATTCCTTGTGCAGAATCTTGATTTCAACTTCAAACCATAGCAAAATTTTCGATCACGAATTTTCAGATTTATGTGAAAGTTTTGTTTCAAACAGCGCAAGATCTAAAATATGATATTTTTCTTCATAAATGTGTTTTGTAACAATTCGTGACTATTTTTATTAGATCAATCCAAAAGTTCGTGCCGTTTTTGAGATGTATTAAAATTGTTCAAAATAAATAAAACTTTTGATGCAACTGGCTTGGCGGCTGGAAGGCGGGGCTTTATGACCTAATTAAGGCCGCTCGTGCCCGCGATGCAGTCTGCGTCTCTCCGCGTGCTCTCTGATCATTACCTAGCCTAATTAGGTCCCAAGCCCCCCTTTCAGCAGCCAAGCCAGTTGAAACAAAGTGTAGAACGACCTACAGTGTTGCAGAATTTCTTCTTCTTTCTAGCAGTGATGTATCCGTTCCTTGGTCGCTCGCTCTACTCGTCAAAATCTCCAACTCATTATGTTTACCTACCCTTATTTTAGTCATTTTCCAAAGTTTTCGTTTCTTAATTTTGGAAGTGCTTTGACTACGGTTGGATAGAGCAGACAAAATGCAAGACAACGAATTTTTTGGCATTCATAGCTGATTTTCTTAACTTCAAAGTGATTTAGCGCGCTAAATTTCATAGTTGGTTATCTTAAAGGCACCGTCCACCCAAAGCGAAGTTGATGAGATTTCGGTGGCATACTAGTGTGGGCCCCCACACTAGGCAAACCCCCAAGTAGCGCCGCAAAATACTCCTTCCGAAGCGAGAAATCCGCTCCGGAAGGGACGTAACCGGAGGTGGTCACTCCGCCCACTTTGCAGGCGCGCTGATATACGCAGGGCGTCATTAGCAAACTAGTCATGGGCAATTGTGCAATCGATTAGGAGTATTGGGAAATGTTTGCCCCAGTCCTGATCCAGGTTCCGCGTATTTAGCACATTCACACAGAAAGCAGTGAAAGTAAGTGTTTTAGCACACAGAAATGCGTGATAGTTTAGTGTGATGATCCATTAGTCATGTAGACGGCGTCAACGATTATTTGGACTACAAATAGTTTTTCAATTTGATGTACATTGCAATGAAAAAACTCACGTCGCATGTTCATCTCGTTTTATTGAGCACAAGCGTCACCTATAACGAAAGATCGTGTTCATATCAAGAAAAACAGCTATGCCGGATGCTGATGATGGCTATAATCGAAAAAACAACTTTGTCGTAGATTTTGTCATGACTGAATAAAAAACGAACGGTTGAGGATACAAGTATACGAAATAACACTAGAAAAATTCCGATTAGTCGCCTACGACGAGGCAGCGTACTGCGCTGTGCGTGTAGTCTCTCCAACGGTGCGCCTGCAAAGTGGGCGGAATGACCACCTCCGGTTACGTCCCTTCCGGAGCGGATTTCTCGCTTCGGAAGGAGTATTTTGCCTCGCTGCTTGGGGGTTTGCCTAGTGTGGGGGCCCACACTAGTATGCCACCGAAATCTCATCAACCTCGCTTTGGGTGGACGGTGCCTTTAAGTTTCATAGAACATCAAATGGCGAGCACCTAAGGTGTCATTCAATGCTGGGTGATTTCCTTTTTCCGTTAAAATTTTTTAACTGGTGGGTTTCGAGGATAAAATCACCATAATTCTAGTTTCTACAGGCACCCCAGCAGTGAACGAGAAATTCAAGATTTAATTTTCAAAGCACTGTTCCAAAGAAGGTTTATCGGTGTTTGAAACCGTATCGTCTATTCGTTGACTGTACGGACTGGACATAATCGCGGAGCACGCGCCGCGAGGTAAAACGCTTGCTCCAATACAAACTCGCCATTGTTAAAATCGTGCTCTCGCAACATTTTGACCGCGCCGCGCGTGGTCCGCAGCGGTTGAGCAGTCCGTACGGCCAACGAATCGACGATATATTTTAATATTTCGCTAAAATGAAAACTTTCAAAAACTCTTCATAAAATATACGCCAGTCGAAGAACTCCAAAAACATTGTTTTACCTTTAGTCTGCTCTACTCAACAGTATTAAAAGCTCTTCCTAGAATGAGGAAATGAAAACTCAAAAAAAATGACTAGAATAAGGGTAGGTAAACATGGGTAGGAGATTCTGACGAGTTTTGAAGAGATCAACAAAGGACTCGGAACAGAAACACCACTGCTAGAAAGAAGATGAAATTTTGCATCAAATATTATTTAAAGCATTTGTCTATTTTCATTCTGATTGATTTGAGCAGAAAATTGGAAAAAAATGAAAATTTGAGCAGGGTCTGAAAACCGGCACGAATGTTCGGACCGACCTAATATTTTCCAAAAATTCGTTGGAAATCGAATTTATGACAATTTACAAAACTTTTCGCGGATTCCTGTCGATCAACCAAATATGTCAACCAAATATGCCGCAATCAAGATAAAGACAACCTCCATTTTTCGTCTTTTTTAGCCTGCACATCTTGCGCAGATGTGCAAGCAGGAGTTGGTGTCACCATCACCACAACTTATGATGCTACCAGCTGGTGCAAGCAAGTCAATCTCAGTGGTTGCCCCAATGGATACAGGTACCAAAAAAATTTTTTTCTAAGAATTGTCGTAAAATCGAACGTTTCAGAACTGGCACCAACACCCTCGGCACAACATTGACCTGTACTCCGTTGCTGAGATGGTCAAGTGGCAATTACAATAGTCCCATCGGGAGAAGTATAACCATAAGCTGTGCCTAAAGCCAACTATGATGGTGACAACCATGGACGGGTGCTTGTGCAATATCACTTAATAAATTTTGTGAGGTCTAATAATATCTGATAAATGTTTGATTTTGAGTTTTTCATTTCATTACTTTCATTCAGAATTATTTGTAAACTCACGACTTTTCACACTTGATTCATTTGCAGCATTTTGTTCATCACTTTAAAAGAGGAATTATGCATGACTCTCTCGTAGGCGCTTTCTGAAATATGAACTAATATTCCACATCAAGAAATGTCTGAAATTGGGAGAGACTTCCTGGATTACGTGATTCATACGATCCATGATAGAATTTGCAGTCGCTTATCACTCTCACTAGTGAAAGATCTACAAATTCACGGGAAACTCGATAAGTACGCGAGTGATATATAAAAAACGATCTTTTCGGTTCAAACTCCTTGTTCCCTAGAATGGTATCGTTTCTCTATCTTACAACACTAATTGGTGCTTCTAGCGCTTGCATGAAGACAGTACCAAGTAATGTAAGTATTTTAGACTTGTACTTTGACTTTACCATATACCATAACGGCCTAACATTTTTTTCTGGACTAGGTTGACTACAAAAATTTTTATTTCAAAGGCAGCGTCCAGGCAAGTCGAGGCACATGGGGATCTCACGTGGATAGTAATTTCGTGGCCCTAACTAAGCCACTGCCCAACCGGCAGCTCAGGTAGTGCTCTAATGGCTGAGATATTCCCCTCGAAACTGGCCCCCGCGATCGTATTTCGCATGGATTCATGGCGCAAAGCGTGGATCCTGGCGCGAAATTCCCTGAATCCATGCGAATACGATCGCGGGGTCCATTTTCGAGGGGAATACCTCAGCCGTTAGAGAACTAACTGCGCTGCCACTTGGGCAGTGCCTTAGTTAGGGCCCCAAAATGCTTTCCACGTAAATTCCCCACAGGCCCAGATCTGCCTGGACGCTGCCTTTAGGATGATGAGAAGGAAAAACTCTTAAAAAAGAATGAAGATTACTTTTTTGAATTTTTTCCTTGGATCCAATCTACCGCGTAAATAATTTACGGTACCTTCTCTTTAATCGCGGTATACTTTCATTTCAAAGCAAGAGACTGTTACAAGCTGATGTTTATTCCGTATAAAAAATATTATCTAATTATATTTCCTTTTCGAAAACTCACTCTTCCTAGTGGTGGCAAGCAAATCAGCTGAATTGAAAGTTGCATTTCGCGGAACTCAAGTGACCCGGTTAAAAAACACAAAGAATTTTTTTGCACTAGCCAATTATCTGTACTCACATTTTTGTTGATTAAAAAATTCTGTTCCATGTGATTTCGAATGCTGAAGATGTCTCACTATGCGGTAAACGCTTTGATGTACGATGACAAAGGAAGAAAGTTTTGGTGATATCTCCGAACTTTTCGCTCCATATCCGATTTCATTTGAATTATGCAATGATACGCACTTTCTAGTTCGCTGAACTATTGTTCGTATGGAAGAGATCTCTCCTAGGCGAAAGCGATAATTGCACAGGCCCGATAAGTCTCGGATGTCATATGAGTTGTTGCGCATCAATCACATTTGAGAAATTCGGCGCGCTGAAAGAATTTCAGGAGGCCCTAAAAATAAAGCGTAGGAGCCATAGGAATTTCTGTGATTGGCTCAAGTATTCTTTACTTCAAAAAATCAAAAAATGATTGTATCTGTATTAATTTTGGAATCGGATGCAAAAAACAATGATAGCAATGGCGGAACATAATGTAGATATCTACATAATTTTTTGTATTAGGTAGAGGAGTCCCAAAATAAAATTATGAACAGGCTATTGAGTTACTCACTTTCATGAGACTTTTTCAAAAACGCAATATTCTTTTTTAGGGCGGCGTGATAGCAAAAGGTGAGTACAGCTGACAATTCTTGATTTTATTGATTATATTTCGTAAAATTGCTTGAAATAGTACGGCTGTCGAAGATGTGAAATTTTTCATTGATTATTGATTAGATCTAACAAAACTATTCAAAAGAATCTTTCGCTTTGATGTCATTATCCAGATATAAGAGCGAGTCATCGCGTGCAGAGAGTAAGCGTTGCTGCGTCCGACCCTAGATAGTCTGGGCTTGCGAGAGACGGCAGACGATGAGAGGGATGAAATAGCGTTTGATCGCAGCTACGCCGCAGTCCGCAATGGCGTCCTGTCTCTGCGTACGAAGAATCGCGTATATGTAATTACCCGAAAAAGTGCATATATCTTCTCATTTTCAAGTACAGTCTTGCAAACAGTATTGGCTTGCTCATAAGTTTTTGTGCAAAAAATTAGCGATAGCGCAAATATGGCAAGGTTGCTGATTCTTTTTGTGTCATGGAACCAGCCACAATCAATGTTGAGAATCGCTTAATTTTTTGAAGTAAACGGTTTTGTGATGAGATAGAAAAGTAACTTGCTGCTCAGTCTGTAACAACTGTGCGCCCGCCAGAGAACTGACTTGCCCCGACGGCACTCTCTGTGCATTTTCGCTGTTAAAGCTTTCCAAAACCCCGGACGGATGCTCTAGGTAAGCCCAAAAACTTAAACGTTTTTCTCATCTTAAAGTCACCGGATTTCTAGGTATGAATGCACACAAGGTGGACTCATCACTTTGGTTGGCGGAGGTCCTGAAACAGTTTCGAGTGTAGTTTGTGACCGGACAAATCAGCTGGTTTGGAAAACAAGTGGAGGAGAGCTGCTGGGGAGGAACCTACAGGCTACATGTGGAATTCGTTAGTTTGCTAGAATTAGCCTAAAATGTTGAATTAGCGTAAAAAGTTATAGTAGAAAAATTGTAAAAAGAATAAAAAAAAGAAAATAGTTGTCGCAAAGTGCTCCTCTACCTGTTCGCCATTAATTTTGATGCACGCTTATTACTGCTTTTTACTGAGTAGTATGAACTATTTTCGTGTTTATACGATCTAAGAAAATGGGTGAAATTTTTCACAAGTGTTTGACTGCGCAGGCAAGAACTGCTACCCCTAAAGCTTATGCGCATTACGGATGCGCTGCGTCTGTGTCGCGGTTGCGTTGCTTCTTTGCTGACTGTTAGTCGCTAAAAATCACTTGAGATTCGTATAATATAGCCGAACTTACCTGAGTCTATGTATTTCCAGTAGAAATCATTCACTTCAGCTTGTGCGAATTGCGGTCCGTTGACCTGTGGCCTTACTCCATGTCCGAAAAATTACGACTGCTCTTTATGCGATTCAGAGTATGTTCATACTTTATTTACCAAACATCTATAGGCTGATCCCTTGCAAATAAGTTCCTTTTAGGCCATTCGTCTACTCTGAAAGCGCAGAAGGATGTAAAATTGCCAGATGCACACAAGGTCAAATGTTCGCCAATGGACAGCCAACGACTGAAGCATTTTGTGCTAGTGGAGACTATGTGGACGTAACTAACGAACAACGTATCACCAGTGCATCTTGCGGACTGCGTAAGTTCATTTTGTACTGGAAAAAGGAACATTTAAACAAGTGCAAAATATTAATGGTTATTTTCAAATTAACCTTCCGGAATCCTGAATTCATAGAGTAAAATACTGTGGTAAATTTGCGCTACAGCATCAAAATGGAGAAAGTTTCCTAGAGAGATGCTCCCAAAAAATCGCTAGGGAAGACGTCAATTAAAATGACCAAGGTTTACTATATTTGAAAATAAAGGAGGGGGAGAGGGCTTTACTGACCTTCCAAAGGCTCAAGAAGTTCGGTAATCGACAGAAGACCAAAACCGTACTGAAGAAAAATCGATTGGTTCCGTTGGATTGGAATCCAGATTTTTAACAAAAATTGGGAAGACGGGGAGGGGGAGAGAGAGTTGAAATGTCGAATTTGACCGGCCTGAGAAACAAGCTCTAGGAAAATTTTCGGTAATAATAAACTATTTTCTGTCAAGGCAAAAGTTCACATATATATGCAAGTGAGTGTGTTCAAGAGTGGAGTTACTGATAGTTTAATCTTTCATTTTCCTTTTCCATCTGTAAATTTACCATGTCTCATTGTTTTAGGTTGCGATACTTGCACAGCTCTTACAACCGACGGTCTTACATGCCCAGAAGGCTCTACTTGTACCGCAGTATCTATACGTGAAGGTTAGATTGTATGCAAATTATATCACAAAGTCAAAAGTATATATTCTAGCCCAATGCAAAGAAGCATACTGCCCCGCTGGTCAAATGACCGCCAACGGAGCGCAAGTAGATCTTCTTACCTGTAATGGTCAGGGCAAGTGGGTAGATGAGGCAGGAACCGAATACACAGCTGCACAGTGCGAGATGTGTAAGATGACATTTTAGATAGAAATACTAAATTTAGTAAACGAAAATTTTCAGCATGTGAGAATTGCGAGGCTTTGAGCAATGCTGGCATCTCATGCCCCATCGGACTCACCTGCGAGGCTCCTACTGAACGTCAAGGTAAGGTGAAGAGAAGCCTGCCTGCCCATTTTAGACCTCTAACTCCGAAAACTGCTTAGCTTTGTAATTACACGAAAAAACCAAGTTTTTATCTGATTTCCGTTTCGATCCTTTCGCTATACAAAAAATCGAGGCACGGCTTTTCCTGAGCTTTATCGGTAGTGAGAGAAGGCCGTAGGAGATATCAAAGAAATGAGAAAAATCAAACTACATACCCTAAAACTTCTAAGGAACGTGAAAGTACCATAATTGTTATTGCTTTATCTCTAACTTGGGGAATGAAATCAAAAACGTCATCCTCCTCTAGTTTGATGGCCGCCAGAATTTTTTAAAATGACATATTTTGTAAATGGATAGATAATAAAAACAATAAATAGATGTAATGTAAGGTTACACTTCCGGGAAGATATAATAGAAATAATAATCAGTTATCTAGTAGATAAAAAATTTTTCATAAATATCATTTTAAAAACAGACGCCATAAATGGTTGAATCTTATATATAAAGCTGAATGTCTGTTTGTATGTATGTCTGTCTGTCTGTCTGTCTGTCTGTATGTCTGTACGTATGTTCCGAATAGAAAATTCCATTTCTGAACCGATCCGGACCAAACTTGGCACACATACACTACGGGCTCCGGCGGGTGTCATAGGCTACTTTTCGTCATCGATCGATATCGATTTTATCGATTTTTTGCAAAATTTGAGCTACGGGGCTGGGAGTTGGCACAGGGGGGTAATCGAGCATGCTGATTACGAATGTAATAATTGTTTGCGAGAATATCCAATACTTTATTTGTTTAGAACCTCGGACTAGAAAGGTGTAAGTTGGTACTTGGTTAAGCTGATTTAAACGAGGCAATCTTTATCTCTCATCCTCAATCCTGCATCAAAATATTTCTTCTGTCATCTGAGACCGGATTTCGGTAAGGAGCGAGTGCGCTAATTAAAAACAGCCTTCCTGAAATAATTCGAATGCTAATGATCACGATCAAACGTACTGAAAGAGTACAGTGATCTCTATAAATTCACAACAATTTTAATTTTTTGGCGAGGTTCAAACTATTCTGAAAAATGTTTTATTTATGAAACACTCTTTTAGATCAGGTTCTAATAGAGCTAAACTAGATTGTTGAAATTTGCATGCACACATTCTATATGTGGGTCAACATACCATAAATATTTTCGGAAAAAGACAGTTCTTTCAGAATTTTTTAAATTTTTTGGGAGGAAATCATGATGGCGTCTTCGAATGAGAAGGAGAAAAAATATTTGAGTAGCACCGCTGGATTGGCCATCAAAAGTTAGCATATACGTGTTTTTGACGCAAGGTCCCAGGATGTCTCTGAAACGAGATACAAGCATTTTTGATTTTTCTGTAAAAATTCCGGTTTCACCGAGTGTTGATATATCCGTGCGTTTTCACCGAGTGAACCGCGGGTTCCGCCTCGACTGAGGTGGCCGAATGGCTACCTCGACGGAGGTGTTGAGCCAGTGGTTCAATTTTTGTCACAACCTCGGTTGTTCGGTTGTCCGACAGCGGCAACCGATGGTTGTCCTCACAACCGAGTGGTTGTACCTCCGAATGGAGGAGAACAACCGCGTGGTTGTACCTCCGAATGGAGGAGAACAACCGAGTGGTTGTACCTCCGAATGGAGGAGAACAACCGCGTGGTTGTACCTCCGAATGCAGGAGAACAACCGAGTGGTTGTACCTCCGAATGGAGGAGAACAACCGCGTGGTTGTACCTCCGAATGGAGGAGAACAACCGAGTGGTTGTACCTCCGAATGGAGGAGAACAACCGAGTGGTTGTACCTCCGAATGGAGGAGAACAACCGAGTGGTTGTACCTCCGAATGGAGGAGAACAACCGAGTGGTTGTACCTCCGAATGGAGGAGAACAACCGAGTGGTTGTACCTCCGAATGGAGGAGAACAACCGAGTGGTTGTACCTCCGAATGGAGGAGAACAACCAAGTGGTTGTACCTCCGAATGGAGGAGAACAACCGAGTGGTTGTACCTCCGAATGGAGGAGAACAACCGAGTGGTTGTACCTCCGAATGGAGGAGAACAACCGAGTGGTTGTACCTCCGAATGGAGGAGAACAACCGAGTGGTTGTACCTCCGAATGGAGGAGAACAACCGAGTGGTTGTACCTCCGAATGGAGGAGAACAACCGAGTGGTTGTACCTCCGAATGGAGGAGAACAACCGAGTGGTTGTACCTCCGAATGGAGGAGAACAACCGAGTGGTTGTACCTCCGAATGGAGGAGAACAACCAAGTGGTTGTACCTCCGAATGGAGGAGAACAACCGAGTGGTTGTACCTCCGAATGGAGGAGAACAACCGAGTGGTTGTACCTCCGAATGGAGGAGAACAACCGAGTGGTTGTACCTCCGAATGGAGGAGAACAACCGAGTGGTTGTACCTCCGAATGGAGGAGAACAACCGAGTGGTTGTACCTCCGAATGGAGGAGAACAACCGAGTGGTTGTACCTCCGAATGGAGGAGAACAACCGAGTGGTTGTACCTCCGAATGAGGCATCCGATGGTTGTCCTCCGAGTAAGGCATCCGATGGTTGTCCTCTGAGTGAGGCATCCGATGGCTGTCCTCCGAGTGAGGCAACCGTCCGGCACGAGGCAGCCACCGGAAATGACCGGTGCCGCGACGCCTCGCCTTATATACCCCTCCAAGGGGGCGGGGCAAGGGGCGGTCCAAAGTGGGCGGTCCACTTCGTGTGGTTAAGCATAGGCTTCCCATACAAAAACTATCCGCCCCTTCCGAGTTGGTGTGACCAATCACAGCCGGCCCCGCCCCTTTTCGAGGGGTATATAAGGCGGCCGATCTCGCCATTGTCGGTCACTCACCTCTGCTAGCCGGCGGCCACTGAACCACCGAGAGCTCTGAGTACCAAGCGAGGACCGAAGATCCAAGGACCTGAGGACCTGATAAAGGACCAAGGATCTGAGGACCAAGCGACAAAGCCTAAAGGCTCTTTCTTTCTCGAGTACCGAGAAGCCAACGGCTTTACCTCGAGTACCGAGAAGCCAACAGGCTCCATCTCGAGCACCGAGAAGCCAACAGGCTCCACCTCGAGCATCGAGAAGCCTAAAGGCTTTACCTCGAGTACCGAGAAGTCGACAGGCTCCCATATCTCGGGTACCGAGTAACTTATAGCCTAAAGGCTCTCATCACAGGATGCCGCCGAAGAAGCGTGCATCCATCGGAAGAGTTGATCCCAAGGCCAAAAAGGCCAGGGATCAACGAGAGGCTGAGACCTCGGAGCAGCGCCAGGAACGGCTAGAAGGCAATCGTGCCCGAATAGCCGAGGCGAGAGCAACGCAAACGCCTGAGCAGCGTGAAGCAAGTCTCTCGCAAACTCGCCTGCGGCTTGCTGCTCTGAGAGCCTCAGAGTCACAAGAAAGTCGTGATTCTCGACTCGACGATGACCGAGCGAGACACGCCGAAGCCAGGTCTCGAGAGACGGCTGAAGAGCGCACATCTCGACTCGAAGACATGCAGTCGAGAAACGCTGAAGCCAGATCTCAAGAGACGGCTGAAGAGCGCATATCTCGACTCGATGACGACCGAGCGAGACACGCCGAAGCCAGGTCTCGAGAGACGGCTGAAGAGCGCACATCTCGACTCGACGACGACCGAGCGAGACACGCCGAAGCCAGGTCTCAGGAGACGGCTGAAGAGCGCACATCTCGACTCGACGACGACCGAGCGAGACACGCCGAAGCCAGGTCTCAGGAGACGGCTGAAGAGCGCACATCTCGACTCGACGACGACCGAGCGAGACACGCCGAAGCCAGGTCTCAGGAGACGGCTGAAGAGCGCACATCTCGACTCGACGACGATCGAGCGAGACACGCCGAAGCCAGGTCTCAGGAGACGGCTGAAGAGCGCACATCTCGACTCGACGACGACCGAGCGAGACACGCCGAAGCCAGGTCTCAGGAGACGGCTGAAGAGCGCCAATCTCGACTCGAAGACATGCGGTCGAGAAACGCTGAAGCCAGATCTCAGGAGACGGCTGAACAGCGCCAATCTCGACTCGAAGACATGCGGTCGAGAAACGCTGTAGCCAGATCTCAGGAGACGGCTGAACAGCGCGAGTCTCGCCTCGACAGCAGTCGAATGAGGACTGAGGCCTCACGAAGAGCGGAAACTGGTGCAGCGCATTCAGTTAGGCTCGAACGTGATCGTGCTCGACAAGTCCACGCTCGACAGACATCCAGGCGAGTAGATCTTCACCTCGCGGCACTCAACTACGATGCCCAGGTAGACTACTCGACCCATCCGAAGGTACTAATCGGAAGGATGGATGTCGTATGTGGTAAGTGTCAAGCCAAGAAGTTCAGAGCCGAACCTCCTGGCATGTGCTGCTCCAGCGGCAAGGTCGATCTTCCGCCTCTACGTGAGCCGCCTGAGCCGCTTCGTTCCTACATGTCCGGCACCAGTGCTGTGTCCAGGCATTTCTTGCAGAACATCAGGAAGTACAATGCGTGCTTCCAGATGACGTCGTTCGGCACTACAGTTGCCACGCCAGACGTTGAGGAACAGGGCTTCATGCCAACGTTTAAGGTGCAGGGACAGGTCTATCATAGAGTTGGATCCCTGCTTCCTAATGGCAATGATAGCCCCAAGTTCTTGCAGCTGTACTTCGTCTGCGACGAGCAGCTGCAAGCGGATCAACGTTGCGGCATCATCGGTGGCACAAGGCCGGACGTCGTGCTAGAGCTGCAAAGAATGCTACATCAGCACAACGAGCTGGTGAAGGACTTCAAGACCAACCTGGACCGAATGCCTACAGACGAGTATAAGGTCGTTATCCGTGCTGACAGGAGGCCTGCTGGTCAGCATGAACGACGCTTCAACGCTCCGTCTGTAAGCGAGATGGCGGTGGTCTTGGTTGGCGAAGACGACAACGACGGGCGTGACATTATCATCGAAAAACGTTCCGAAACGTTGCAGCGCATCTCTGAAACCCATA